CAGTAAACAGTGCTTCTAACAAGCCATTACGGGCTCCAACACTTCAAAGATGTCTTAATTGCTCTGGGGCAGGAAAGGTATGTGTAATATCCTCTACTTTCATAGATTTCTGTCAAAATTGAATCTTTCTGTTATGGGTTCAGATAACCCGCAGGGATGAGGTCTTGAAAATGCAAACTTTACTGTCAGAAACTCAGCCCGGCTCCAAAAGAAAGAAAGAAAAAATTCCTTTCATGAATGCGTAATAATACATTATAATCCACATATAACTTCTTTGCTATTCATTTGATTACACGCACACCCATAATATAATAATGACAAACACAACCCAAATTGCATTCTTAGCGACATGTCATATATGATAGTGATGAAGGTCCTCTGTCCCTTTGGGCCTCAAGGTTGCTCGATTTATTTGTATCAGTGCAACACAAGACTTGGTCTGCCACTCTGCTTGAGCATTTGAGCCTATACAAGCACATGTACACATTAGGAGCGAGTTAATTCCAGCAATAGTCATTTGACTATATTGATTTTCCAAAATTAGTCCCCGACTTTTAATTTGGACACTTTACGTCCCTTGACTTTCAATTTCTTTCCAATTGAGGTCCTTTTGTTAGATTACGGTAAAGTGGACTTTAAATGAATGAGTAAAGTAGTCATTTCATCTGCTTAATGTATAATTCTTCGTATTTCTTCCTTGTATACGCGACTTCGGATATCAGATTCACTTAATTGCTTAATCCCCAATGGAATTTTGTTCTTCGAGTGGATTTAGGGATTAAGCAATTAAGTAAATCCGATGTCTGAAATCGCGCATACAAGGGAGAAATACGAAAAAATTATACATTAGGCAGATGAAACGACTACTTTATCATTTCATTTAAAGTCCAATTTACCATAATTTGACAGAAGGACCTCAATTGGAAAGAAATTGAAAATCAAGGGATGTAAAGTGTCCAAATTAAAAGTCGATGACTAATTTTAAAAAAATCAATATAATCGGAGGACTATTGCTGGAATTAACTCCATTAGGAGCCTAACTGGTTCATGGTAGCTCTCACATATATATATGCCAGTGCCTTGCATTTTACATTTTTTTTTTTTTTTATATGAATCAATTTTCCGCACGCTTTGCTTTCTCTACCTTCCATTGCCAGGTCCTATGCATCGAAGATGTTACAATTTTTATATTGCCTCAAAATGTTGTAGGTTCCACAATTTAGCTAACCCCGTACACTGATAGATTGTTGTTTTTACTGACAAGGTGATGTGCCCGACGTGCCTTTGCACTGGGATGGTGATGGCAAGCGAGCATGATCCTCGAATAAATCCATTTGATTAGGAAATAGAGAATCATTGTGTTGTATCTTAATTTATTTCAATGGAATTACTACTTTAAAGTTGAATTGTACCTTCAAAATGGGAATGTGTCATTAGATTATACTACCTGGGTATTGTACACTAATAACTTGACTCTGAATGCCCTTTTATCATAATGGTGGTATTATAGTTCAAATATAAGCTTTCATAATGGTTGGTTCCTTCCTATTTATCCATACAAAAGGATTAAATATAATGTATCATATTCACCAACAATGCACCAACAAGACAGTTTGGCCGAGTGGTCTAAGGCGCCAGATTTAGGCTCTGGTCTGAAAGGGCGTGGGTTCAAATCTCACAGCTGTCAATGTTTTTGTACATTTTTACACTGCATTATGCCTATTCTTTAATGACTATTGGGCTGAGCCCATGTACGGCGCGCGTAGTGGCTTCAAAAAGCTTACTGGGCTCAGTCCATGCACATCCCTAAAAGAATTAATACCTAATTTAGTCACTATAGTAATTTTATTTTTATGGTTAATTAGATCCTCGACTTTGATGATTTTACTCAGTTGAATCCTCCTTTAAAATAGCTTAGTAATTTCACTTCTATTAATATTTAATTTAGTCATCGACTATAATAGTTTTATCTAAGTTAGTTTTCGACTATAGTGACTTTATTTAATTTAATTTTTGACTATAGTGATTTTTCTCAAATTAGTCATGGATTCTAATAATTGAGGATTCAATTGGATAAAATTATCGAAGTCGATGACCTAATTAAGCACATAGACGATTGTGGGTTCGAGTGCCATCAGAAGTGTATAATTAATTTCTTTTTTTTTTTCAAAAAAGACTAAATCAAGAAAAATCAATATAGTCAAAGACCAATCATTATTGTGTGGACCATATTATCAAATAACATTCAGTACACAAATAATATACTTTTAGATTTTTAGTATATTAAAAATGTATATTGTGACATTATTTAAATACTGAAAGTATATTATTTTGTATAATGTGCATTCAATATACGAATAATATACTTTTAATATATTAAAAATGTACTTTTTGTTATGTTTCACACAATAATTTACCCCGTTAAAGATTAACAGGACATTTAGTTGAAAGGAAGAAAGTAAGAGAAAAATAAATTGTAATTCGGTGGAAAAAAAATAAGTTGGGAATAAGTGTTTCGTTTCGCTCATATGTTAGTTTCATTGATGATGTAGATCTATTTTGGCCACTTTTGCTCATTATTCTGTTAATTTTGTTCCTAAATTAGCTAATCTTTTAGCTCATATTTTAACTTCTCAAGCTTTTGCTCAGCCTGGTACTTTGTACTGGGATTCTATCGCGCCTGATTTTATTTTGATTTACCTTTAATATATTCTATCGGTATGGTTTGCTTCAAAAAAAAAAAGAAAAAAAGATGTGGGAATAAAGTAAGAATTAAAATTACATTGTTTGGTATGGATGAATAGAATTATTCGGAATAGAAATGAGAGAAGTGATATAAAGACTAAAATACCATTATGTAATAATATTAATAATAACTAGTATTCGCCTGTGCGATGCACGGAATGAATTTGTTGTAATATATTAAGAATATTTGGATTGATATATAATTATTTAAATTAGAACATTAAATATTATATAGTGCAATTGAATATGTGGTTTGGATAATTTATGTGTTTTGATGTTGTCATTGTTTTAATTTGAGCAAATAATTGATCAAATTAATAGCTAATGTGTAGATGTATGCATGCGGTGCTGTAGCTTTGGAGATTTTATTTATCATTGTTTGTATTTTTTATAAATTAGGCAAATGTGCTCGTTTTCTAGCAACTTAGTTATAAGAATGAATTGATATCCTAATTCACTTGTATGGAAAATATATTTTTTGTCTACATATATAGTAATTTTGTCATTTAAAAAACACAATATCACTGAATGTATTGCACATTATTGAAACATCTTTGTAGACAACATTGGTAGTACCAACACAATCTTGTCCATCTTCGTCTAGAGCTAACACCTTCAGTCCATCATGATGGGTGACTCGGGTGAAAATATATAATGGTAGAATATCAGTCAATTAGTGATCCTTTTATATTTCAGTCAATTAGTAATATCGGATTCATTTTCAGCCAATTATTATTTTTTTTTTTAATTTCAGTCAATTAGAATATTAGATGCAGAGATATTTTTACCTAATTTCCGTTCCATTTTTAATTGATGATGTATAATATTTTTATTGAAATATTCCCATTATATTTTTAATTTACATTTATATTGTTTGAAATATACATTTACTATTGATGATGTAGAATATTATTATTGTAATATTTCTGTCTAATTTTTATTTTTTGTTCCAATTTTAATTAAAATGCAATGATCTCACAATTTCTTTTTTTCATTTTAGTCAATTAGTCAGTTACTCAATTAGAAATATTATTGTTACCAATTAAGCTTTATTAATTTTTTACTAATTAATTAATATTCATATTAATTTGGGCGGGAATATTGAAAAGGAGGATTTTACTTTTATTAATAGTACTAGTTTTTTTTTTTTTTTTTTTTTTTTTTTACGTGCATTGCGCGATTGAGATAATGCCAAATATTTTTTTAAATAAGTACTATAAAATATATCAATGCAAGATTATATTGGAATTGTTCATGCATAGATAATTTAATATTGAATTTGCGTATTTAAATAGGTAATTCTAAGTTTACAAATGCAAGATAATATAGTCAAGATTGATTATAATTGCCAATAAAATAATTGTATGGGTATGGTTGAAACCAAATACAGGAAATAAGGGAGAGCAAATAAAAATTAGGACATAAAATATTAAATATATACTAATATTGAAGAGCTAACTGCTGATTGCCAAACAAGGACATTGCGAGATAGTTTCTCACTTCAATTTGTTGTGTGATTTGAATACTCTTTTTGTCAATAAATCTCCCAAGTAGTTAATATGATTGGCTTAATTATACATTTTTTATTTTTTTATAACAATAATAATAATAATAATAATTATTATTATTATTATTATTGTTATTGTTATTGTTATTGTTATTGTTATTCTTATTGTTATTATTATTATTATTAGAGATATATTGGTGTAGTTAGAGGTTAGTGTGGGTCGTTAACTATTTCCCAGCTACATTTTATGTATAAATGCTCTTGTAATTCTCCTTGAACAAACACATTAATATTTACGGGTGTTACGCTATGTGCAAGGTACACTCACCCTAGGGTTGCGTCTTACTCCGTCAGCTTCGCCGGTTGTCTATGCCTTCTCTGACTTCGATTGGGCTGGTTGCACCATTGATCGCAAGTCTACTGCAGGTTGTGCCGTGTTTTTAGGCCCAAATCTTGTGTCTTGGGTTTCTAGGAAACAACGGATCGTAGCTCGTTCCTCCACCGAGGCTGAATACAAAGCACTTGCGGATATTGCAGCGGAGGTGGCCTGGATATAGTCTCTACTGCGTGAGTTGGGTTTACAACCCCAAACAGTCCCCGTTCTTTGGTGCGACAACTTAGGGGCTACGTACCTGTGCGCTAACCCAGTTTTTCATGCCCGAACCAAACACGTTGAGGTGGATTATCACTTCGTCCGGGACAAAGTGTCATCCGGCAGCCTAAAGGTCAACTTCGTGTCCACTAATGATCAGCTCGCAGACATCTTCACCAAACCGCTCTCTTTTACTCGCTTTGGTGATCTACAGTTCAATCTTGGCGTGGTCTCATGTCCCTCGTCAGCTTGAAGGGGAGTATTAGGCTATTAGAGATATTGGTGTAGTTAGAGGTTAGTGTGGGTTGTTCCCAGCTACGTTTCCTGTATAAATGCTCTTGTAATTCTCCTTGAACAAACACATTAATATTTACGTACATTATTATTATTATTATTATTATTATTATTATTATTATTATTATTATTATGTATACCCTTAGGTCATTTTACATGTTAATCTAAACGGTTAATTTTTTCAAATATCTTTTTACCAATCGTGATATAATTCGCTGGTCAAATCCGCTAACGCTAATCGCTAACTACTGATTATCAAACAAGGACATTGTGATTTAATTCTCACTTCAATTTGTTGTGTGAGTTTGAATACTCTCTTTGTCAACAAATTCCTCAAGTAGTTAATATGACTGGCTTTATTAATTATGTTTTTTTTTTAATTTTTAATTTTTTCATTGTATTAATAAAACTAGTAGTTGCACCCGTGCGATGCACAGCTATATATATACTCTACATTATATTCAGTATAATATAATTAGATGAAAAAATATACATTTTGAAAAATTAATAAAATTGAAATGATGAATTTATAAATTTTATTAGACATTGTTGAGTACTCTCTTTGTTGAACCCACAGCGATGCACGGCTACCTATATAGTACATAGAAAATTCCGTATAATATAATAAGAAGAAGAAATATACCATTTCAAAGCTTACTAAATTTTAAATAATAAATTGTGGAATGTTATTAGACATTGTTGAAGACTTCATTGTACACAACATTTTTAGTCGTACTAAGACATGGTACTTTTCAAACTCCTTGGGCTACTAACTCTTGAAACAGCTACGTACAATTGTCCATGGTTAAAGACAGGTTTTTTCAACAGCAATCCCACTTTAGAAAGTGTTTGTCCTTGACTTTTGTTGATTGTCATGGCATAGGATAGCATCAACGGGAATTGCTTCCGTTGAAATTTGAAAGGCAATCTTGGATCTGACGGTGTAAGTGACATTCTAGGAATTAATACTCGTGTTCCTGCATTTGTACCGCACATGATCTTGCCTTCCAACACGTGATCAGCTAACCTAGTAACAATCAACCTTGTACCGTTGCATAGTCCTAGTGTGTGATCAATATTTCTCAAGAGCATAACGGGTGACCCAACTTTCAATGTCAAAGCATGATGTGGTACTCCAGAACATCTCAGGCCATTCAAGAATTCGGGAGTGTGAAAATCTGCTAACATGTCAACATTTGAATCTGACTTACAAACAGAATCACAACTCAAGTAAGTCTTACCCTCTGCCGGATTATGATCATTCATGTATTGGTTAATGCTATCTACCACATCCAGTGTTGGAGCCAAAATTGCACTATCATTAAGATATGACAGATCGCCAATCCCTAGTCTAAAATTAGGGAAGGTGCTATCAACAATTGTAGCAATAGGGTAATCCTCGCACCTCAGCAATAAATGTTCTGGAACTGTAATATCTGACTCACCATCACGTTGATTACCAACAGTTCCGTTACCTATATTAGCTATCCATTTTGCAAACTCCTCGATCTCTTTACCCTCGATTTGTGATTGTACATTTCTCAGGCGTAGATTCTTAGTTAGCCTAAATACTTTGCAGAATTTCCAAAGATATGAGGAGCTAATGCTTGCCCGGACAATATCTTGTCTGGTACTCTTCGGAATTACTGGTAAAATCTGCCTCAAATCACCACCGAAAACAACTGTTTTACCACCAAATGTCATATCATAACTCCTTGGATTTTTGAAGCGCAACAAATCCCTCATAGTTCGGTCTAGGGCTTCAAAACAAAATTTGTGCATCATTGGAGCTTCATCCCATATTATCAACTTGCTTTGCACAATAAGCTCTGCTAGTTGACTGCCGTGACTTATGTTGCAAGTGGAATCTTCATTAATAGATATCGGTATGGCAAACCGAGAATGTGCAGTTCTGCCATTTGGTTATAAAAGCGAAGTTATGCCGCTAGATGCAACATTTAACACTATTTCACTCTGAGACCTTAACGCGGAGGACAATGCTCGCCACAAAAACGTCTTACCAGTCCCTCCATAACCATAAACGAAGAATAACCCGCCAGTTTGGCGATCAATATCGGTTAACACCTCATTGTATATGACCTTTTGCTCTTCGGTTAATTGCCTTACCAATTCCTGGTTCTCTTTCTCCTGTTCCATACAGTCATATGCTAATTCTTCTTGTATTAACCTGTTTGATATAACGTTTAAGGCCGCAAAATTTGCCGTAGGCATTTCAGGATAGTCCTTCAAACTCTTACCATGAATAGATAATAGTTTTTCAATCTCCACTAAAGCAAAGTTCATCTTGTGAGATTCGGTCAACACAAAATCTGCATAAGTTATATAACATATACTAATTAAGATGCCTACGTTAAATTTTACTTTATATTGTGTTAGCAATATAACAAAAATAATTTGTAGAATGTATGTGTACCTCTATTGTGCAATTGTGTGGACCTAGAATTGTGCATCATCTGACAAATGTGGCCACACAGCATACCAAACTATTTCCGGTTTACCCATGCAACTGCTCATTAGCAATGTAACAAATAATCTCCTCAATTGATCTGCTGACGCCCAATGACTGGCTTCATCTATTGCATCAACATATTCGTTATCATCATCAACTAAACCTCTTGCATAACACGCATCTCGAAATGAGACATAGTGGACACCATTTACAGTCCTGATATCTGCATAACTTGTAGGGCCACGTATTTTATTCAACAAACACCTCAAATAAAAGATTTCTCCAGTAGCTGGCGGGACATAGAATATCCTTCCGATTGAGAACCTTTTTTTCCGTGGCTGCCATTTTCTAAGGTCTTTCTTCCAAACAAATCTCGTTGGCATCTCAACATAAGTAAGCTCTCTTGCATCTGGGAATGTCTTATTCGCCTCAAACCATTCCAAGAACATGATCTGTGCTATAGTGGGTCTATTAACAATGTTCTCAACAGGATCATCATCTGCAAATACCACACTCTGTTGATTAGGAAGGTGAAAGCTTAACCTTTCCACTGAAGGAGCCCTAAGCTGTATATCAAAACCAAACAAACTCCAGACCGCTTCACATGGGGATATGTACCTACAGTCATAGTACATATTAATCTCATCTATGGCTTTCCCATTTCCTTTATCATTGCTTGTTTTGTAGAATTCGGCTGTTACCCGATCATGACCCTTGTTAACATACTTGAACTGTACTTGATTGAGCGTGACTAGTTGCACCACTCGACATTTACATGAGCCTTGTACTTAAGCAATAAATGTCTATTGTGCGGTACCACATACCTGTTGTCCAACGCGATCCCGTTCTTTGTAACTATACTGCCATTGTCTCTCCTTCTATATACCGGGTAACCATCGTCATCAAATGTAGAACTCTCAACAAATCTCTTAGGAAAATGTTTTGAGCATCGTGCATTTACCATACATGGAGAATTGCTCCTTGCTTTTCCACATGGACCATGCATCATAAATTCCTCTACCGCTTTGTAATATTCTACATCTGTCTTTTCATCTGGTATCTCTGCAGAAAATATTTTGTCTAGAGTAACCACTTGACTAACTTCTTTATTTTTCTCCAAAAAAAGAAATATATGAGCATGCGGAAGACCTCGCTTTTGGAATTCAATTGTATATATAACTGCAACATAATAGCAATAACCAGATAAAGGGAAGTTAATTTATGCTAATTGTAAAGACATTGATGTAAAATTAAACAAAAAGATTACCTCCCGCCACAGAGCCAAAAAGTTTATTCTTTCGACAATCAGCTATCAAGGAATCCAACTTCATATTGAATAAATGGCAAATTATGTCAAGTCGGTCTTCTGCTTTCAACCTTCGATCTTTTAAAAAACGTTGGACCTCTGGCCACTTTGGGTTGCATGTAAATGTTATAAATAAATCTGGGTATCCAATCCATCTACATATTACCATGGCATCCTGGTAGTTTTGTATCATGTATCGAGCATCGCCTGTAAAACTTGAAGGTAGTATTATTCTTCGACCTTGTGCTGCGGGGTTGACTTCACCCCTTGTTAAAGCGTCAGTCAACCCACTGTATGTTTCACACCTTAGGCTTTTTTGGTGTGTCCTAATATAAATGAGTCTTCCTGACTCAACCATTGTGTATCCATCGACAACGAACTGTTGGAACAACCGCTTTGCAAATAGAATGGTACTCGGAGTTGAATCTCTAGTCTGAATGCGATAGCAAAAAAACTCCCTGGGGCTAATCCTCTGTCTACCACCAGCGAAACGGTTGCCGAGTACGTTCGAGAATGCAATGTCTTCCCGATAATCATCTTCACCATATGGAAACAACAGTTGGTATTGCAGTGGCAGGTATGAAGGATTTAATTCAATGATTCTCTGCAATTGCCCACCCTTAGCTTGAACCACAATATCACGCTCACCAATACTAGTATCCAGATCTCCAATGCTACTTCGGACACTTGCGGCAGATTGTATGTCCTTGCATCTTTAGTGCGTTTTCCCAATAACTTTATTTTGACTTCAGCGCATGGGTTACTATCAAGCTCAGACATAGCCATCCGAAATGACTTAACCAAAACATTATTTTTATTGAGCTCCTTCTGAATGACATTCACTATTCTACATGAATGTCATCTTGCTCACCCCTACCCCTACACGAATGAAAACTTTGCACTGATAAGTATGTAAATAAAAAATCGTAGGTTAAGTGTAGTAACGGCAGCTTGTTTACCTCACAGCATTTACACGGTTGTTCTTTTCATTTGCCGTGTCGTATATGTACAACTGGGCAAAATGCGGTGCTTTGCCTTCTTCTGGAAGGAGACTGCCCATTAGGTGATAGTTTTGTCCACTTAATCGGAAAACAAGTGGTGCGCCTCCCTTGTTCACGCTCGTGTCTATTTTACCGCCCATTGATGTGAAGCAGAACATGTTGTTGTAGGTTCTGATGTTCTGGAGAAATTTTTTTGATAATTCGTCATTGCCGAAAAATAGATCAAATATACCTTTTGATGGCAACGTATTCGCCGGCAACTTAATCTTCCCATTGTTGCAGCACAACGAAAACATCGGTGAACCTTTAGTGGAATAATTTTTCTTCCTTTCTTCGAACCAAAACAACGCCCCACAATGGACGCAAATATTGGTTGCATCACCCAAATCACAATACTCATCTGCAAACAAATTGGTATTTTAATAGGCGTCCATAAAATGTGGAAAACCATATTAGGTATGAAACTTTGATACATACCATGTGCTTCACCAGAGGATGTTCCAATATCGGAGTTCTGCCTTACATCATCAATCGCTATATCAAAATCTGAATTGACTAAAATTAATATAAATTAATATTAATTGGGCAAGGTCTTCAATCTTACTTTGCTAGCATTCGTTTGTAAAAGAAACAGTTCCTATTATTACCTGTTATGCCATTATTGGGTGCTTCAATAAGTAAAGGGATAGACTCTTTTTATTACATGATCGTCTTCAATTGGAGAGTTATGTAATGGTTGACGCATTGCTACTTTATCTTGGGAGCTACAACCTATATTGAACACAATAATAAAATTAAAAATTATATTTGACTTTATAATATTAAAAATTATATAACATATGAGTATAGGAAGTTACCCGTTAAGCAAGACGTTGTTATGGTTGATATTGGTTTTTGGAACTCTCTAAAAATAAAGCGCTGGCAATTGCTTGAGCTTATGTGTGTCTTGGAAGAACCTACTGTAAACATACATAATATTTTAACATACAGATATCTTAGTCCACTATAATACAAAAAATTCATTTGACAAACATTTTATACGAATTAAAACTATAAGGATATTTAAAGACACAATGAATGTATATCACTACATTGTAGGAGATTTACCGTTAGTGATGTTACTCATTGGTGTAATATTCTGTGTCAAACACCCTCCAATAGAACATCATGTACGAATACTTGTCGTAGTTTGCTCTGTACCTTGAGCATCATTATTTGTTGATGATGAATTGGAGGAAGAATTTTCTGTGATATACAATATAACATTATAATTTTTTTTTAAAAAAAAAACATAATTAACAATCTTATCAATTAAGTACACATAACATAATTAATTTGACTATTGTACAACATAAAATTTTAATTGCTATAAATAAGGGTAACATTATAAGACAAATTATTTGGTGGACCATGGACCTAGGCAATGTGTTGACCATGAATAACATTATAATTACAAATAAAATAACATAAGTAACAATCTTATCAATTAAGTACACATATCATTAATTAGGTTAAGGTAGAACATAAATTTGTAATTGCTATAAATAAGGGTAACATTTTAGTCCACAAATTATTTAGTGGACCATGGACCACAAAATCTTGTGGACCCTTAATAACATTATAATTTTAAAAAAAAAACATAATTAACAATCTTATCAATTAAGTACACATAACATAATTAATTTGACTATTGTACAATATAAAATTGTAATTGCTATAAATAAGGGTAACATTATAAGACAAATTATTTGGTGGATCATGGGCCTAGGCAATGTGTTGACCATGAATAACATTATAATTACAAATAAAATTACATAAGTAACAATCTTATCAATTAAGTACACATAACATCATTAATTAGGTTAAGATAGAACATAAATTTGTAATTGCTATAAATAAGGGTAACATTTTAGTCCACAAATTATTTGGTGGACGATGGACCACAAAATTTTGTGGACCCTGAATAACATTATAATTAAAAATAAAATATCATAAGTAACAATCTTATCAATTAAGTACACATAACATAATTAATTTGACTATTGTACAACATAAATTTGTAATTGCTATAAATAAGGCTAACATTACAAGACAAATTATTTGGTGGACCATGGACCACAAAGTTGTGTGGACCATGAATAACATTATAATTAAAAATGAAATATCATAAGTAACAATCTTATCAATTAAGTACACATAACATAATTAATTTGACTATTGTACAACATAAATTTGTAATTACGCTAACATTATAAGATAAATTATTTGGTGGACCATAGACCACACATTAATAAAAGATCATTTAAGAAAAAATTGATATATTATATAAAACATCTAGCACTATATTTCAATATTTATTTAAATATTTATCTATATTTATTATATAAATGAACTAAATATATATATATATATATATATATATATATATATATATATATATATATATATATATATATATATAATGTTTATTTATTTCATAAATGAAATGCAAGAGATGCTCTCAGCGGTGGAAACGCTCTCGTACTTCCTAACCTATCTCTCTCAATCTAGAACACAATCACAAGCATGGATCTAGACCATTTTGCTATCTCTGTCTCGGCTTCATCTCTTGTTATTACACTATTGCAAAGATTAGGAAATCGGGTCTAGATCCTTATGATCCGTCTATCACGACTTCATCTTAATCTCTTTCATTTCTGGCCAAGATCGTTGCTATGTCTCTCATTTTGAGGCTGAAATCTTACTAAAGTGAAGCTAGTGTTCTCGTTCAAGGTTAGTATGATCTTAATTTGTTACTTTAATTTAGGGTTTTTTGTTGGAAAAATAGCATTAAAATGGCATTTTAAGTGGCTATTTTGTGGTACAATTATCGGTGGGTTCCACTTCCGATTTGGGTCGGGTTAAAGTGGATTCGGGTTCTTCGTAGTGAGACGAAGAGATTGATATATTATACGCTCAAAACGGATAATGGGTGAATGAGATATTGATTCTCAAAGTGGACCCATTGAGTTGGAAAAATGAAGGGAAAAGTGAGCTTTGTCCCACATTGGTTTGGAAAGAGGATTTGACCCCCCTTTTATACAAGAGCTCTTTTGGAGCTTGTAGAATTGTATAGCATAGAGGCTCTCTCGCGCGGGGGGCGGGGTGCAAATCAAATTCCAACTAGAAACGAGATCGAAAAGGCTTGATTCAACCTGCGGGCACGAATGGCTGGCCTTGCGGGCTAAGTTATGCCAACTTTCGGTGTCATTTTTCCACGAACCATGGTTCGGCCTTGGCGACGAACCATGGTTCAGCCTTGGTCGAAAGGAGGCACGAGCCATGGTTCGGCCTTGGCGAAAGGAGCTAACACGAGAGTTGTGCTTCTGTTCGGTTTCTGCAACCAGTCCAGTGTGAGATTAAATTCATCACTTGCGGGATTAATTTTTAATTAATTCCAACTTTAAATATGAATTTAACTCTATGATAATGGGGCTGGCTGTTTCAAGTGTTACAAAGACTGATTTAATATCAGCTTTAATGCCATAATGATGTTGTTGAATCCTTCATACCCTATATAAGAAGGGAGTAGGACAGCAGAATTTAAGCAATGGAGTGAACAAGCACACAACACACGAAATTTTTTTTTCAAGCTTCAAAATCCTTCTGCTTCTACTCCTTTCTTAAGCCTAACTGTGTTCAAGGCTTTGCTCTAGTTCGCCGGGTTCGGTCGTTTGGGTGCTTAAACGTCGAACCGTAGCGCGTTTTATCCTGGAAACCTAGGCCACGACGCTCCTAGCACTTTTGGGAGGTGGCAAATAAGGTTTTAAGGAAAAAGTGATCTCTTGACTCACGCTAAAAACCCTATACCTATACACGAGCCATCTTTTCCTTCTTTCGGTTTTGGATTATGCTTCTAAGCAAAAATCCTCTCCTTTTGATATAGTTTGGTTGGAATTATAATCTGTGGATTATAAGTTCCATTTGGTTGATATGTATATATCTTTTCCGTGGATATTCATGCATATAACCATGGTGATCTGATATATATATATATATATATATATATATATATATATATATATATATATATATATATATATATATATATATATATATCTATATATATATATATATATATATATATATATATATATATATATATATATATATATTTCGGATATATATATCAAATAATATTTTATATACTTGTGTGTGTATATATAAATATTATTTTACGATATTAAATCAATTTTTGGTTCATTATCCCCAACAATCTTAAAACTTTATTATTTTTTATAATGAACAAATCGATGGATTCCAAGAGTATTGGATCCGTGAATGTTGCTCGTGGTGCACATTCAAGTGGTCGGAACGGCAATGATGTTGCACATTCCGTGATGCCAGTTGATAGCAGCAATGTTGGAAATGATATTTCCATGGGAGTTGCAAAGACACACATGGTACTCCAGAGAACGTTGGTTCACGAACCGGTAGACCTGTAGCTAATGGCCCACAATTGGTACCTATTGTGTTGCCTAGTGGATCAGCTAAAAGCCACGAAGGATCCTATGATGGTGTGACCACTACATGGTCTGAGGACTATGGTAGTGTGACCAATGACTTCAACCGTAATCAAAGGAAACTTAAGCGGAAGCTTAGCTTTCAAGAAGATTATGAGAAGAAGGAGAAATGTCACTATGAAGCGAACCGTCATCCTGGTGAAAAGGTTAAGGATAATTTCGCTATGTTTAAAACGTGTGGATGGTTGGACGAGTGAGGTCACAACCGAGGTACCCCCGATGTGCGCTATGGACCACCCTTTGTAGAGTGGACGGTTGAGAATGGAACAAGGCACACGGGTTCGAAGGACTACTACATAGGAATAATGGAAATTGGTTTCTAATGTAATTTTTCCTATTTATTTATTTGTTAAATAAATTTTGTAGTATCCTTGGGATACATTTTTTTTATTGTCGAATAAAAAAAATTAATTGTTCCATTGAGCTATTGAATCATAGTACATACGAATTATTTGCTAGAATAATGTCAAATGTATAAAATGATTCAACATGGGTGCGTAGTGCATCGCGTAGCATTATTTGGAAAATGCCTAAATGGCTTAACGGCCAGAACAAAATGTAACAAGCGTGTTACATGGTTGAAATCCTGTAGAGAACTTCGGTTCTGGTTCATGTAAAACCATAAGGATTTCAAGGATCAATTTGTCAAAAATTGGGATAGCTATATAATCGTGAGCGTCACAGCTCAAGTGTTGAATATTTTAATTAATATTTTGATAATGATTATATAAGCTTAATTCAACTAGTCGGAAAATTTGGTTGATTTGTTCTCGTTAATTGTGTTATAATTAACTTGATCAAAAATTCCAAATTATACTAGTATATTTAATTTGAGACAAATTGTGTTTTGGTGAATAGTGCTTTTGTAGCACTAATGGAAAGTGTAATTTAATTTAGCACTTTGAAGTGCAAGTTAAAGTTAAAACACTGTAACAGTGCTATTAAGCACTAGGTAGAGTGCTTAATTAGGCACTTTCGGCCACT